TATTATTATTTATATTCATAAGAAAATCCTCTTTTTTATTTCTCCTTAAACTGGATACATAAAGCAGATAAGGTTCAGCTTTGGATGAAGATGTGCAGTCAGCCCTTAGCTCATTTTCTTCGCTTTTGTTTTACTTTTGGCTAATTGTTCCTGGCTCGTTCTTGTTCACATCTGTATGAGCTGACCCTTCATTTCAGAGTCAGAGCTGGGAGGGTTCAGACACATTTTGGGGTGAGTAGGATGCATTCTTTGCTGAGAGGGGCTCCCTTTCTGGCTCATTTGCTCTTCTCAACAGTGGATGCAGCTTTGTTGTTGGTCATTTCTGGGGGTAAGATCTGTTTCTTTGGTTTTCATCCTCCCTCTGCTTTCTGCTCCCTCCATCTGACCGGAGCCCTCTCTGTGCCAGCTCCACAGCGTGGTCTTTAACCTCCGGGGTAGTGCCCATTTCCTGACCACTCCCCGTCAGATCGAGGGTTGGACCCATTTTTGGAGCCCTCCCTACCTCTGAACCCCGTTCCAGCTCATTCTGAGCTTCATTAGCCTTCAGGCTGCTTTCCTCTGGTTCTGGAGCTTTGGGCTCCTCCTCTCCCAGCTCATGCTGAGACTCCTCCATACTGGAGTGTGTCTCTCTCTCTTTTCACTTTCAGCCGCACACACATTTACTGATCAGATGGCTGCAGACTGCACATCTCCCTCCACCCTCCCTCCTGCATAATGTCCATGTCCTCCACTGGTGACCGTTAAAGTCTGGGTTCTCTCTGACCAGATGTTCCAGCTGCAGACATATTCTGCACACTTCCACCTGTCTGTCATCTACCACTCTAAAGAGCTAATGTTCGTTTGCTGTGTTACATTTTGCAGAGTATGGGAGAGAATGCACAGCTTCTGTAAACCTTAAACTCAGGAATCTTGTTCCATCCGTGATCCATGTTTCCAGCCACATTCTCCTTTTTATTCTAGACACAACTTCCACCCCCCAGCCTCAGGTTTTTTTTTTTTTTACAGTATTTCTTCATCTGTAATGTAAACAGGAAGGCTTAGAAATGGCAACGTTATTTGAAATGCCTGTGGACCTAATGGCCTACATCCAACTATTCCTCCGCACAGGAGTCTAATGCTAAGTCTGATGAACCATTGAAATGTTTTCTTCACCCTCTACTTCTATTACCATCGTCAGATCTGTTTCATATTTGATTTCTCTCACTGGATCTGGATTGTTTTCTTACCAAATCCTTTAGCCTTTTTTCTTTGTCCTGTTCAGAGTCCATTGTCATCACTGTGTTTAACCAAAAAGTCCCTCCCCACCGACTATGCTGATGGGGAGGGATAGAAAAACCCCCAAACAGAACACATTTAATTTAACCCAAAAAAGTAAGAAAAACACACAAACTGAGCTGAAGAAAACACAGCTTCCAGCACTTGGTATCTCCAGGCAGGTACTAACCCCCCCCCCCCTCCAAAATTACTTTAACACCAGGTGACTTGGACACATATAGACACGTTGTGGGTGTTAAAATTAACACTGTGGGTGTTAATTCACCACCGCCATTTTTACTGTGCACTTCTTTGGTACTTTTTCTGGGTTTCGAAAGCATCTTAAAGCACATGAACCTTGTGATGATCCTGGTGAAGGCCCCTCTACAACTGAAAATTTAGCCGGAGGTTTTGCTGATGACTTTCCATCAAACAGTCCTCTTTCTGACCCAGTCCTTCTTAATAAGAGTCTCGTAGACATCTGTGCTGAAACAGTGGCTGAACTTAAAGTAGCTGGTGTAGGTGAAACAATCATTAACTCTTTGGTTACATCAATGGAAGAGATTGTTGATGAGATCCATAATCAGGCAAAATAATCTGTGAAGCAATGTCTATCTTTACAGGAACCTATCAAAAGTGAGGTTGAGTTTAAAATTGATCAGTGCTTTGAAAAAGTTGAAAATCCTTTTGGTCTCTTAAATTCTGAAACTAAGAGAAGGCAGTATTTCACAGAGAAGTGGGGAAGGGTGGAACCTGTTGAATGTGTTCTTGGTACAAGACTTGATACACGACGCAGTCGGACTACTGGAACTTATGATCCAGTTGTTGTTACTGATAAATTTGTTTATATCCCAATTTTGAAAACATTAGACTTAATTTACAAACACCCTAAGATAAAAAAGATGATGCAGAGGCATTCTAGTTCAATTAATAGTAGGATTGGACCTCTATTTTGAGGCAGTTACTGCTCTGTACAGAGTAAAATACAACTCTGTATTGAGTGAAATGGTGTTGGAGTTGTTCTCACTTTATACTAAATTGAGTACATTTTAATCTTGTGGAGTAAAACATGAACTCTAGATAGAGTAAAAAAACTCTGGAAATGTAACTATGATGGGAGTAAATTTTACTCCTCAAGATTTTCTGTACAGCACGTAACTACAGAGTACAGATGACAATTCAGGAACCTTTTTACACTAATTTTAACTACACCTAAACATTTAGCATATAAACAATATTATTAATTAAATCATGAATCAAATTAATTAAGATGAATATTGTCAATTAAATCCAATGTGATATTGTCAATAAAATGAACAAAGTGTGATTACAGTCTAATTAATGATGTTAAGTAATGAAAATTGTGCAAAGCTATAGCCTTTATATGACAATTTCACTTCAGATATATGTGACCATTGAGATTGCAGATAACCATATTGTTTTATGCTTAATTGATAGAGTTTTGTGGAAAAGATAGCCTTAACTTTATCAATTAAATTTAACATTTTATTTCTTAGAGTGTAATACCAGTGTTCCATGTACACTATATATAATGTATGATATAAAGATTCTCTTAAGGAAATCTTTTATCCATTTCTCTTGTCAAGATTATATTTTTTATTTCCGATACCTGTAGAGAGAATGGATGCTGTTGTGGCATCATCAATCTTTCACCGTGGGCCATATCGGGCTGTTCTTAAAGTAATTATTTGCTATGATATCTTACACCATATGAACAAGAGCTAAGCTTAAGGGTGTTTTCTGTCATTTCAAAAGATGGCGCGACCAGAGGCCTCCATTTGCATTTGCCCTGTAAATGTGGGAGGTCACTGGCTTTTAGTGGTATGTTAACTTTATTTCTAATACTACATGAATCCAACTTGTTTTATTATATTTATGTGTATCTTGGATGTCTCCATCTCCCCCTCGAACACACATATATATATATATATGTATATATATATATAGCGTCACACCTAAATAAATCCCTTTAAATCTTTCATCTCACAACTCGCCAAATCCGTAACAGTATGTACTTCTGGTTTCCAATAGGTGGTCAGGTCAGACCACAGAAATATTGTGGTGATAGACCCCAAGGGCCGGGAAAACGCTTATGAAAGAAGACTTCTCCGAAACTGGAGGTGATGTGAATGAATTCATAATCAATTTGTTCTTGAGGACTTTTTCTGTTGGCTACAGTGCCCCTAAAGTAAGTATTTCTGCAACTGCACAGAAACTTTCTGAAAGCAAAAAAGGCCAGCCAGAGGAAATGGAGAGTAAGCCGTCTCCCACATTTAAATCAGCAGGATTCCAGCAGTTTCTGGGTCTTGATTTTGAAAGTACAAGGAACACAGACACAATTTTTTCTAAATCAATCAAATGGTAACCTTTAAATGCTGTTAGTTTGCAGAACAATATTTAAAGGAGGGAAGTTTGAGGTCAGTAGGCACTGGCCATGATGAACTGCTGGAGGCCAGACTAGCCATAGTGACCACCCTGTTGCCACACAAAGGTGAAAAATATCAATTACCAATAAACAATACAGTATTAAACTGTAAATCATTAACTAGCGGGCATAAAACTAAGATATTTGGAAATGTATTGCATACGGCAGTTCTACATTTGTTATTTTAATTTTACTATTAGAGAAAAATCTAAATTTGAAATAGCAACACAGATAGTAAATGCTTAATTGACTTTATTTTCCAGACAAGGTGGAAGACTACTGCGTCTCCTGCTACTGCCGCACCTTTACTTCCATTGTCTGTCAGGGTGCTGATTAAATTATTTCTGTGTTCTCTCTAGTATAAATTTATCCTGGATTTAATTAGGCTCAGTACGCTAGTGAGAATTTTACATTGTGACAGTCTTATCATTGTTTTTACATTCCAAACGTTTTTGACAGGCAAACCAAACCATAATCAAAGAGGCGATAAGCAACCAGGTTTTACAAAACCTAAAGACTGCCCTGTCTCAGAAGAGGGCCCTAAACACACAGGATCACCACAGCAGTTCTGAGGATGAATCTCCACAATGTTCTCATGGGGTAAGGCAGTCTTTTATCTAGAGCAGGTGGCTACGATGTTTACATCACCGAAAACTGTGATGTCCTTCAGACACTTCATTGATAGGTCTTGACAATTCTATATTCAATATTTGCAACATCAGACAGAGGGAGAGAGAGGCGTACCAACAGCCCAGTTTGGGATGGAAAACTCTCTGATCGCTGACTCCCATTCTCCACTTTGCCACATCCAAGATTGCGGCGATGTGGACGGACGATTTAGCCCTCAATGCGGAGTCTCTGTACATGGGTTGTCACAGTTGTGCCCATTTTTGCCCAGTCCAGTCCCTTTTTTCCTCAGCCTCTTTTTGTTTTACTTGAGTCACCTGTTCCGGTCCAGCTTTTACCTACTGCCCTGTTTTCCCGCCCTGCTATCTACACACTTGAGTTCACAGCTGAAAATCATTCCCATCTCATTTTCCCAGTATTATAGCTCCCTCAGTTTTGCCCTTCATTGCTAGTTCGTGTTTCATCTGTGAGACTCTCAGTGGACTTCTGCATCGCTCCTCAGCCCTTTTTTTGCCCGTTTCTGGACTTTATCCACAGTGTCTGCATGTGGTAATTCTGTTGGTGCCTTGTGCACCTTTTTCTGTTTGAGTGGACATTTAAGGAGTTTCTTTTGTTTTCGTCGTTCCTGCTTAGCAGAGTTTTGTGTTTTGGATTTTTGAAGACCTCTTTAAAATAAAGACAGTTAAATGGGCCTTCCCGGTGTGTTGCATTTGAGTCCTGGAATACCTGCGGTATATGTGTCTGTGGGCTACTCCACCAACCTGTTCACCGCGGAGTCTGTCTGTCTGTGTGTGTCTGTGGTAGAAAATGTCTGTCAGCTAAAAAAGAAAAGAGGACGATTAAAGCCGGTACCAGTACCTGGCCAAACGTATCATTCCGCTTGAATAAATAGATCTGACTATTATCTGATTATTATTTTTTTACTACTATTATATTTTCTTTTTCAAATGAAAATAGATAAATGTACATTTTCAAAAACAACAATTATTAGGGGAGGGTCAACGTAAATGAGGTGGGCTTATTCATTTTAGTTGTTGTGGATAGTCCAATGCCTCACCTGCTCAGACGTCAGTTTGACTCCTAATTGTTGAAAACGCACCACAAAGTACAAAACTACAATTGAGAAGTTCAAATCTTCTTAAAGTAAGTGAGGACCTTTTATTGAATATATCATGTCCTGTGTTGATAGTCACAAGAAATGTTCCGTGACTAAATAAACTCTTTTTGTCAGTTTTGTCATCTTTATTCTTCGTCTAGACGTAGAAATTAAATTGAAAGGTCGTAATTGAAGACAATGTGTGTCCAAAAAGCGCATTTGAACCTATGACTTGATGTCCTAACTACAAACTTGTCTTTTTCCCCTGAACTGTACATTAAGTGGCTAGTATGTGCAGGCACGTGCACGTTCAGGAGGGAGAAAACGCGCTCAGGAGACTGTGGCACCTGAAGAGGTAAGACCCATTTAGAAACAATGCTTTCCTTGTTTTTTCTTTGTAAGTTTTACATGCTAGATAAAATTTCTGAAAAAACCCGACCACCATGTCCAACATTAAAATGATGCACTTATGTCTTTAATGCCATGGGTTTCAATAGTTATGTTTCTAAATGCAAAAGCATGAATTTTGCACCGTCATGATTAGAGTATAGTCACAAAATAATACTGGAAATCTGTTTATGAAATAATTAATTTATATTCATCATTGAGTGTAAACATGTAGTTTTATACTACAGGTCAGAGTTCTTGAAGTAGTAATGAAGTAATTAATTAGTAATTACACATTGAAATTAGAGTACCATGTTTTTCATTACTGATGGGGTCGTGGGCATAACCAACAAAAGTTTAAAATATTTTTCGATTTTTTTAAACATTATTTATTTAATTAATTATATATATATTTTTTAGAGGCTCTTAATTGATTCACATGGAAGCCAACCAGAATATGGAGTTGTTCCACACGCACTCTGCTTCCAGAGTGAAACTGGGCCTGTTTTCTCAACGTGCACAGCCCAGCTGGAGCAGCTCACAGACACTGTCAGCTTTCATGGAGCACCAGTCCAAAGGAAGCGGGAGGCTTTTCTGCCACCATGCAGAAATCTGCCAGTGGCTGGCATGGCCGCGGGAAGTGGGGGTGCTGCACTACCCCCTAGTGGCGAGAGGGAGATTTTTAAAAAAAATTATCAAAAATACTTTGCACAATTTATAAATTCCTGTTACGTCCCGGCTCTGGAGCTGGCTCCACCCCCACCTGCACACCGGCTCAGCTACTCACCCGCAATCAGCGCCGATCACTCTCACCTGTTCCCACCTCCATATATCACAACGCTTACCTGAACTCGTTGCCAGAACGTATCGAACCTAGCGTGAGTACTTCCAGCATTACATTGTCCTGTCTGCCTGATCCTCGACCTGCTTTCCGTCTGCCTGTTTTCCCAGCCTGCCTGTTCCTCGCCTGTACCTTTGCCTGATCCTGACTGCCTGCCCGTGTATGACCCCGCCTGCTTGCGACCTCGAGAACCCGCC